GAATTAATTGACTTAGAAAAAGCGAAGAATGACATAATTGAAGATTTGAAGTAAGTTAATGGAAAGAAAACCTAGTATTGGATTTTTCAATTGAAATTTTTAGTGGACAAATTCAAGTCTTCAAAGATCAAGTTCGTCAATTTTCCATCACAATTGTACAATTAGAAAAGACCGTTGGAGAAGAACAAGAGAAACGCGTCAAAATAGAAACAGAACTCGAAAGTTCCAATAAAACTGGTAAAGTAATTCACTTATCTAACACTTCCGAGTTGTAAATCTTCTTGAGCAATTGACAGAAAATTACTCAGCTCATTAGAAATTGCGTCAGCGCTAAGGATAAGTCGCAAACCCTTTCTCCATCTAGAACCCAGGACAAACCTCCAGGTCTTACCCCTCGCGTCGGTTCTCATTTGACATACTTTCAACATTAACTTACCTTGTTATACGTAGGAAAAATCTCCTTGTTTTTATTTTGATTGAAATTGTTGCTAAGTTATTGAATAAATAAACGAAAAATGATCTTTCTTTTTCTAGTTAACAATTCTCCAACAACATCACCTGTTGAAAATGTAATTCCTGTCATTCCTGTTCTTACCGCACCTGTGACCGATCTCAGGTTGGCTTCTTCTTTGATCGAAATCGACTTTTTTTTTCATGTTATTTCTTCTTTTTTTTTCAGTCATGAATTATTTGCTTATAAATCACGTGTACAAGAACAAGAACAAATAATCATTTCATTGCGACGAGATTTAGCTGGAATGACAGCTCGATTGTCTGATGTTCATGGCGAATTGAGTGATAAGCAAAAATATGCTTTGGAAAAAAGTGAAGCGACCATTCGAGAACAAACGAAAGAATTGAACGAAACACGATTGAAACTGTCGAAACTGAGTGATATTGTCGATAAACAAACAATACAGATCGAAACATTACAATCGGATCTATCGTGAGAACTTTTTGAACTCCGAAAGATTCAATCATTTATTTTTCGTTGAATAGAAAATCAAAAATCTTAGCTGATCAATATCAACTGTTAGTCGATCAGCGTCAAACTGATATTGAACGATTAACAAAATCGCTTGAACAGAAGGATTTGGTTGTTCAACAAGTAGAAAAGAACACTCAAGATGAAGTAAAAACACAAATGAAAGAACCATCTTTTGGTATTTTTCTTTGATTCTAGGGTCGAATCACACACGAATTAGTTGCCGTTGGCGCCCAATGTAGAGGTGAACGTCATGAACAGACAATCGGTCGTCAACGCGAAGCTTTGAATGAACTACGCGCCCGAATTAAATCTCTGGAACAGTTAAGACCAGTGAATCCATCGTACGAGAAAGTTTTACAACAAGTTGTTGTTCTCAAACGTGAATTAGCCGAACTACGGGCTCGACAAGCTCTCCCAACCGATATTCCGTACCTCTCCACACCTTCCGGAGCCAATTCTGTTCATCAACAATCTCAACGTCAGTCATCATCAACAAATCACTCCGACCAATTATCCGAAACACAAAGAATTGTCGAAGAAAAAGCAGCACATGCAGAAACAACGCATTCGTTACAATCCTGTGATGATTTAGTAAGTCGAACAAGCGTTCAGTGAGAAAATATACTTGACATTCGGTTTTAGCATAATGGATTTACTCGACGATTAGCTCAAATTCTTGAAATCGATGATGAAAGTCTCTCGAATGTCGCTCCCATTGCTTCACTTTCCACAACTGATCGTTATGTCGCTTTGCAGCAACGGCAACGCACAACGGAGATTTTAATCCAAAAAATCGAAGTAAATTCGTCGAAATTCATCGTGAAAGAAATTTGACTTCGGGTTTTAGATGTTGCGAGAGCGTTTGACAAGAAAAGAAGAACTCTTACGTGATTACGAAAAAGATCTAGGCAAATTACGTCAAGCGGAGATTTTACTACGCGAAAAGAATGTTTTATTACAAGATCTTGAGGTAAATTGACTTCGAATCAGTAAAATCGATGACAAATTCTCATTTTAGACTGACAAACGAGCGAAAGATGATGAAGCTTTATTCCTTCGAAATACTCTTCGGGAAACTCAAGATAATCTAAATCAAGAAAAGCGCACGAATTCTTCCATTAAACTTCGTCGAGTATGGTGAATCCTCCGAGAACATTTTCATCATCAGTCAAATGTTTCTTTTAGAATATCGATGAATCTCAAACGACAGAATTAATCCGTCGTAGTGGTGGTTCGAAAGTAACACTTCATCATCATTGTCCGCCGGATACATCAGGAAAAATTCGAACAGTAAAACATGATTTAAATCAAAAAATCGCTCGAAAAGATTATGAAATTAAAACATTGAAACAGGTTTGTTGATTTATTCGAATGAACCGAAGACGAAAGATTCTTTTTGTATTTGTAGGAATTGAATGAAGCATTAGACACGCTTTCCGAACAGTCACACAAAGTTCGTCAACTTGAAATACAATCTAAAGTAAAGAAATTCGAGGAAAATGATTGATTCAATTCGACTTTTGTTGTTTTAGGATGGAATTGACGGATCAAATGTGTTAACATCATAAAGTTCATTGAAAAAAATTCCACTTTTTATTCTCTCTTTGCGTGTGCGTGTGTTTCGTAGAAGCAATAAATGAACAAAAACAAAAGACATAGAAATATTCATTTTCTCGAGGAAAGACAGACACAAAAAAAAAGACTTCTCCTAAAAATCATCTCAATCGACCACTAAAACGATGAGGTTTAAATGGAAATTTTCGATCATGTTCTTTTATTGATTGAATTATTAAATTTACAGCACGATTCACATCAGCTCGTGGTCCAATCACTTTCACTGAACATGTATCAATGGATGAACCAGCCACTGTATGAATACGAACTGTTCGACATTGAGAACGAATTTGAGCAATGCGAACACCATGAGGACCAAGTAAAGCACCGAATTCACCGTGATTGATCCAAAATTCTCGCATTATCGAATCATCACTAAGTTTCACCACGGAAAATTCGTGTTCCGTATCAGCTTCAACTGAACCATTCCAAGCATCGAATGCTGAATAACGTTTAATACTTTCATTTTCATTATCAAATTTATCATTCTGTTCATGATGAGGATTCATTGAACGTAAGATTGTCTCTGTTGAAGCAAATCCTCCATATTCATGAGCAAGCGAAGCATCGTAATTACTAAAACAAACGTATCAAGAGGAGAATTTTCACAGGAACTAGACTTACACTTCGTTGTAAAGTAGAAGATCATCGCCATCGTAGACGTGTTCGTTAATACTTGCGAATATTTCTCGTAGACAAGCCATTATCTTTTCACAGGATGAACTTTGAATAAGAAGAACACGTTCGGTTGAAAGTGGTGCGCATGTTGGATGAATGGTTAATGTATGTAAAGCATATTTTTCACGTAAAATCTTCGATCGATCGCCTAACTTGCCAAGGATCAATGGTGCGTAGGAAATGTGAAGAAGAATTCGTATTTCACATGGAATCAATGAAGAAGAGTATAAAGTTGAAAGAAGATTTTCAATAACTTGTAATTGTTGAGAACCTAAAAAGAGAATTTTGTAATAAAAGTTCGAATATTTTTCGTTCGTCGCTTACCGGTGATAGTCAACACTCGTTCGGGCGTTGTTTCATTGATAGTATCTGTTGTCACTTGTACAAATTCTTGAAAAAGAGGTAGATTTTGAAGTTTTTCGATGTTTTCTTTTTGAATCAAAATTCGATAATGAAAATCTTTTTTTTCTTTCTTTTCTGTCACTTCATTTTCTTCATTTAATTCTTGATCATTATCATCATCAACAGCAACTTCACACAAACCATGTTCAACTTCTTTTCTCAATTTTAATTTTCCTTCAATCTTCACTTTGTTCATATCGAGTTGATACGTTAAACAGTTTAAAATACAAATTTCATGTCCAATCGCCGATAGTTTCTTTGCGTCGAGATAATTTTCATTTTCAATATTCAAAAGTTTCATCATAATTTGTTGAAATAATTTCAATTGCTCTGTCGATTGTTTCAATTCGGTGAAACATGTTTGATATAACTGATCGATTTTCTCGAACATTTTCGATGCCCAAACATCGAGCTGCGATTCGCGTTGTTGATAATTCTCGTATTCGTTTGTTTGAAGATCATTTAACGATTGATGATATGTTTGTGCTTGTGTTAATAATAAATTAAGACGAAGTTCAGTTGGCGTCAACGAACTTTTATCAGGAACTAAAACACGAGTTTGAAAACGATTGGCTGTTGCCATCTAAAATATGAAATAAGTTCAAAAATTTGTTTCATCGATTATTTAATTCGATTAATCAATGAAGAAATACGCGAAAAATAACGGAATTTTCTTTCGGCCATCAAATGATGCGATAAATGGAGGTTGGAAGAGACCGAGTGAGAGAACAAAAAAAAAGCCAGTAAAGAAAAGAAAGGAAGAAAATAGAATTCAAATATTAGAAGAAGAAAAGAACGAAAGAATGTAACGAGGGCTTTTTTGACGTACAAACTGAATATAATGTGTGAATGACTCATTTCTTATCAACTTTCACTATCAGAATCTGATTCAGCCTTCGTCAAAGATTTCATCTAAATATTTCAACACATGTTCCTATTTTATAAGTCTATCGAAGTCAAACTGGCTTATAATTCAGTCGGATTGATGGTGAATATGTTCGATCAATAGATATACAAACTCGGAATCATTTTCTAATGATTAATTGAGTAGATCGAATAAACAAAATTGTTGTCATTGTGATGAAGATTTTTTAATCTGGACTTGATTTGAATAAATCTAAATATAAACAGAAGAAATGGCATTATTTTGTAGAAATGATAAATAATTCTATTAATCATCGTTCTAAAAAACCTTAGAGACAAATATAATTGAGAATTTCATCACAAGTTTATTCAATGAATAATCTGTGCGAACAGTGGAACGTTTATTTGATTTCATAAAACAATTCAAGATTCGAATATTCGATACATATCGAAATTATTGCAAAACTCCATTAAAATGAAATAACGCATGTTTATCACAATCAGTTACATAAAGACTATCATCAATGAAAAGAATTCCAATCGGTTTGGCGAATAATTCATGTCTTAATTCTCCACGATATTCTCCATCAATTGTAAAAACAAAAATACTTTTCGATAAACTTGATGTAACAAATAATAAGTCTCGTACACAACGAATGGATCGTGGTGCATCAATAGTTAAACCCAATGTCACGTCAGGTATTATCTGTAACTGTTGATCTGTATGTTTATTAAATGTTAACACACAACCTTTGGTTCCACATGTAACATAAAGAATATTGGACATTGACATCGATGAGTAAATGTTTGGAATCGAGAACGAATTTATCGATTGATTGAATTTCCGTATGAAGACGAGCAACACATCGTGTCAAATCCGCTTGACGTTGATCATGAAATTCTTGAATTTTCTGACACAAACGTTCATTTAATAACTTTAAATTCTTTTGCATTTCATCAAAACTAAAATTACGCAGATGCATCGTCTTCTCTTCAACCAACTCAGTACATTACCGTTTGTTCACATGTTGAAATGTTTCATCACATTGATCTCGAAAATCATTCGCCGATTGATTCAATGTTAACTTCAATTCTTCACTCATTCGTTCGATTTCCATTGTTTCACGTGTGATTTCTCCAATAACTTCTTGTCGATGAATTTCTAAACATGAAACACACGCTTGACGAGAACAATGTGCACATGATGTGATCGACGGTTGCACATTGCATATCGCACATTGTTTATTCTGAACAATATCAATTTTTCGAATATGCAACAACTGCATCAAAGCAACATTTTGTGATAACAAATCAACATTCACAATCGTATGTTTAGCCAAGCCTAAATCAATAAACAATTCACTAAACTTGTATGTGTCATACAAATTGGAAATGCGAACGAACAATTCGGACAGGACATGATAGTTGTATCAAGCATTGTATTTCTTATACAATCGACGCAGAATGTGTGACCACATGGTAAAATTCGTGGGTCTTTAAACGTGCGATTACAGACAGTACATGATGTTATTTGACGAATGTTTTCATACGAGCAAATCGCTGTTGTCATTGTCAATAAAATGAAGATTAAACGAAAACGATAATTGGAAAAGTTTCACACAATTGCGCCTGTCTTGTTTAGTCACACGCGCCAAACAAATCGCTATTTCTCTTCTTTCTTTCTCAGGTAAATTCATTCTGTCAAAAACACCAGTGAATCACTCGTTTATTTGATAAAAACAAAACTCAACAACTGACAGAATGTTATCACTGGTCTTGTCAGATCTTCTGTTGTTTAAAAGAAATGATATAAAACTTTCGAGAAAAAAAACGATTTTTCCAGTCTGTGTCCAATGTTCTTTGTTGAGAATTTAACGACAACGTACAACAATGAGATTATCACAACAGATGAACCGTTAGCAGCAAATAGTACTCAGCATGTTCTGTGCCATTCGGCATGTAACTTATTCCTTCACCAATCGTCTGATGATGAGAAATTTACACCGATATTTCTCTTTTCTCTGGGCGTTGTTTTACTTGTTTCAGTACTTGCAAGCAGTTTTGTTGTTTTTTTCCGTTATTATCAATATTCACAACAGCAAGAAAAGAAGAGAAAAGAATTTCTAAAGGTAAAATGATGTTTCGAGCTTTCTTTTACAAATGAAAATGCTGTTTAGGATGAAAAAACTTGGGCTCATCCATTCGAAGATATTCTTGTCGTTGTTGATGAAATCAAATCAGTTGAATTAACCGAAATTCGTCCAACAACAATCCCTACTTAATATTCTAATTCACATTTTCTTTCATATATGAAACAATTCTTGTTCGAACAGAAATTCTCTTTTATTCAATAAAATATTTCATAGAAAAAAAGAACATTACACTCGTTTATTATACGCTCTAACATATCGAATTTCTAGTGTTTGTTTAGGTTTGAGATTGATTTCCCAAGTGATATCGTGCTGTGGATTAGCGGTTGCTTCAGTTGCTTTGACAATGTCTTTTTTTGGCTCAGGCGAGTAGTTACTTGTCTTTCCTGTTAAGGACATGTTAATCACTACAGTAACTTCTTCGGATTTATAGTTCATTATTGTGAGTTTTCCTTCGATTTGATCTGTTTGATAATTATAGCTAAGAAAAGTAAATCGTCGGGTGTTTGTATTGACAACTTTTTCCTCCAATTGAACTCGAACATCGAGAGCTTTGGTTAAATTAACAAAAGCTGTTGATCCTTTGGGTGTATAGGTTAATAAATCTTGACCTACAAATTGTTGTTCATTTTGACCTTTTGTGACGAGAACAGGCGCAGTTGTCAAAACAAAATTTGTTGCATTATCAAATTTAACACTATGCCAAACCTAAAAACAATGAAATAATTTCGAACGAAGATAAAATTTCCTCATACTTCTTCGTATGGTTTGTTTTCTGCTGAACTTGTGTTACTGTATTGCGTACTATTTGATTCGATTTTACAATGATAAACATCTTTATATGGAAGTTCGACGTCGAATATTGGTAAAACTAGACGTTCTTGTTTTTCCAAAAGAACATTTTTGAATTCGTACAGATGAAGATCATCAACATTTGTATCTTCAGTTGTTTCATCGGGTCCTGAATCGCTTGAGCCTGGGAATCCTCCCATTACTTGCTGTGTCATCATGGAATTTGACATACAACTGTAATTTGCGTGTAGACGTCCACTATGACGTGAGCGAGTGCTTTCACATTGTTGTAACTGTTGAAGGAATGTTGCAACATTCGCTGTATCGAGAATTGGATCGTTAACAGATGCGAATTTTGACGTGTTAGGAAATCCAACGATACAGAATAGATTGTCCACATTCATATTTTCAATATCATTTAAAACCACCGCCTTCGATGAAAAACGAAGTCGTTTTACTGTTGGATCATTCGACGATAAAAGAACCAAACTAAAAAAAACAAATTTTCCTCAAGATACATTCGATAATAGTGATAAGCGATTACCTGTACGAAGGTGCCCATGTTAGACCATACGTTAAATATTTCATTAATCCCGTGTCAACTGAATTAGATCGATTTTCATAATCAATTGATAAACAATTCTTGACTACTTTCTGTTGATACGTTGTTTGCAATGTTGGACCACGAATTGATGCAATCGTTGATAAAGATAATGCCATTACACCATGATCGGTTGTTTCAAACAACACTAAATCACCAGTTCGGGCTAAATGAGAAATAGCTGCTGGTGTTGGTACAGCATATCCAGACAATGCTATTAAACAAAATAATTGAAAATGACTTGGTAAAGTTTGTGATTAAATCGGTTAGTTTTGACTTACCAAATTGTGAGTGAAGAACTGGAGGAGGTGCAACAGGTACGATTTCATCACTCGATGTGTTTTGAGATCGTTGAATAGATTTGATTTTACCTTTCATCCATTCTTTCTTTTGAGTGAAATAATCCAAAACAAGAATTTCAATGTCTTGTTCAACATTCGCTTCAATCAAATCTCCGAGAGTATAACAATCTTTTGTTTCCGATTTATTTGTCTTTTTCGTACGAATAGAAGTAATTTTTGCTAAAATTGTTCCATAAGAAACAAAAAGAAGATTTTCAGAAATGAAATCTTACTTTGTTTGGAAATTGGTTGAATCCAGAATGTTCCATGTACAGCATTGGACGGTGGATCCATAATTTCAATGGTTTGTTGTTTTTGATCGTTACTTGAAGGAAATTCGAATGTTTTCACGATCATACCATAACCATTTTTGAATAAATAAACGTTTGATGCATGAGAAGGAGTTTTACTATCAGTTGTCGTTGCCATTGTATATGCTTTTGAGAGAAAAATATGCTTATAAATGATGAAAATATGCTTTCTTTATATACAGGTCGATATTTCTCAATGGTGATGAAATTTTGTGTGCCAACGTGGTAAAAGAGAAAAACAAGTATGAGAATGACGAGTCTTTGACATGTGGCATGACGTTTTTCTCTTTATCATCTTCTAGTTGTTTTGTTTTTATGATGAGTAAGTTATAGACATAGAAAAGATTTTATTCATCGTTTGAGAAAATGGTACGAACGATCATGATGAACAAAATCAGTAATATGCGAAAAATTTGATTTATTTCCAGTGTTTTTACAAAGAATAAAATATTAAATGATAAAATACATAAGAATGATGAGATATATTTGCAAGTCTCATATTTATATTCAATGAATGAAGCAAAGATTAATGATAAGAATAAATTGATAGTTAATTAAAAGAGTTGAAAGCAATTGAATATATAAAATAAGAATTCATAAAGTGTTTGTTTCAAGGAACATAACTAACACGTTGAATACATTTCGGTTTGACCTTTTCCTTTGTTTTCTTCAACGTATGTATTCTTGCCTTTCGTATATTGTATCTATGAGTTTTAACCGGATCGATCTTAAGTACATATTTTAATAAATCCATGCTTAAAATAAATCCAATAATACTACATATCATCAAAACTGCCACGAAACCAAGACCTAAAACATCGAAATTTCGGACGAATTCTTTCGATTAATCCGTTGAAAAGTTACTTTTCGTTGCATAGGCTCGTACAACCGCACTGGTTTCTTGTTTTTCACAAAATTCTCCATAAAATCCCGATAAACATTGACAAAGATATTTTAAATTTTCTGAAACGCACACACCTTGGTTTTGACAAACTACATTTGCACAATAATCGACACTCAATTCACAATGTTCACCTGTATATCCACTTGAACAATTACAAGCGAAAGTCACATCGTTTATAATCGAGCAATTTCCTTGAAAAGAATCATTTTAGTAAAATAAACAAACTTGAGATTTATCTTTTTTTCCAAACCTCGAGCAAAACACGTATAGTTTTTACACAATCGATAATCATTCTGACATTGAGTTCCATTATAACCCATACTACAGTTACAAGAGTAGCCAAGACTGTTAGTTTGATTGTTAACATTACAGTGAGCGTCGTTCAAACATGGATCAGTTTGAATGCAAATGTTTTTACTAAATGAACAATTGAAACCGAAATAACCTGACGGACAGTTGTCAGTCGGATTGAAACCCGTTGAATTTGCTAAACAAAAGAAAGAAAGAAAACATCGACATTAAATGTGTGTATGAAAACAAATCAAACAGACAAGGTGTTGTCATTTTAGTTATGGTGGAAGTTGGAGTTGGAGTTTCAGTTGTGATTTGAGTAGTTACTAAAATATATTTTCAAAAATTCTTTTGTAGAAACAAATTCTCTCACTTTCTGGACACTCTTGATAAATTGGATATGACACTATCGTATTGGACTCACTGACAATAAGACTGTCATTATGATCAATAATCGCATTGTAAAATACTGTGGATGATGAATTCAAGTTTTTTAGAGCACAAATCGTGTTATTATTCATTATATCGAATAGATAAATACCATCGGACGCAGTGATAACAAGAATATTCACGGAGTATACGCTGAGTGCTACAACTGGAGCTTTATTGAATGGTAAAGTTATACCATTGGATGAATTAAGTGTGAACATTTTAATTGACTTACTACCCGCATCATAGACAAATCTGAAGAATAAAAATACATTTAGTAGTTGTAGTTACAAAATCAACTTACAATGATTGGTTATCGTTCATAACTATCGATTGAGGATTATTGAAAACATAGGATAAATTCGTTAAATTTCCACTATCAAACGTATATTGATAAATTTGTTTTCCTTTGATTATATAAATAGATTTATTAATATTATTAACACATAAGCCCCCAGAAGTAGAACTCAATGAAGTAATATTTCCACTATTCCGATCAAGAATTTTTGTCCCATTAATTCCATAATCCAATGGATAATCCAATCGAAATATTTCTGCTGACGTTCCATCGGAAACAAATAGTGAATTATTGAAACCGTATGCAATAGATGATGGTGGATATCCTATCGTTGAAAAATTAGTAGAATTACTTGCGTTCAAGAGAATAACAAATATGTTCGATGAATTTGATCCATTAAAGACTATAACGCGACCGTTGTTGCCATCTAAAATTGCGATATCACCATTGTTCTTGTTTATGTCAAGACCAGTAGAATTTAATGTTACATCGAGTGAATAATCATCATTGCCCGGTGTGTTCGATGAATTTCCGAAGATAATTGTTTTGTTACTTGCATTCCACTTTGAACAAGTGAGATCTATGAACATAAGACAATGATTTCTAATGTATTTAAATGAATTTTATTACTTAATCCTTGTGAGAAATCAATGTTAATGAATTGTAGAATGAGAATTGTATAGAAAATGAGAAAATGTTGAGTAGATTTGTCAGTCATTGTGAATTGAATGTTGTGTTTTAGAAAAAAAAAACTTTGATTTTATTTAGAAAGAATCAACAGAAACTGTTTGTTCAAAAAGTTAGTTTATCCACAAAATGAAGAATTGAAATTCATTTGACTTTAATATTTTCAAATGAACAAAATCACATATTCAAAGTATTTTAAGACAAATTGGATCGTTCGACACTAATCAGATGTTTATTTTAGAAAAATATCAATGTCATTGCAAACAATATTTATTTTCATCGATATAAAAGTAGACATTTCTTTGATTTAAACCCAAATTGGCTCACCTTGACGTGGGAAAACAAAGTTATAGTTAGAATTACTTTCTTCTTTCAATTGTTTCATGATTTTCTCTCGACTTCCTTCTTCAGGTTTGATGTGTGTAACAGCAATTGTAACATTTTCCATTGAATGATAAGATCTTAACACGTCTAATTCTTTTAAAAGCCATTTCGGTGTTAAATGTCCAAATAGTAAATGATCTGGACGTTCATTTGAATATGAAACTTCGATAAAAATCGCTTTTAATTGATTAGCGACAACTAATGGACCCATAGTTTGCCATAATTGTTCAAGATATCTTGGATAATATGTTGAATTATCAATTTGAACGATCTTTTCAATATCATCAGGACCTGTATCACCTAGATAAAGTATCGATGCTGAACTTTCATCTCGACGAGAGATCAAAAATGCAGAACTAAGAAATGGACATGTATGACATAAACGAAATATTCGAACGTTTAAATCGGTATTTGGAATAGGAATTGAATTAGTTGATAGAGGATCTAAGATTTGATAATTGTATAACTAAGAAAAAAGAATTGAATAAATGGAAAGATAAGATGAGAAATAGTGATTTACTTTGAGACCATGGGGACCGAAATCTGCCCATGCCTGATTATTGAAAAAATCATCCTGAATAATTTGAATAGTTTCGTTTAAAGCAAAGATTGTTTTTCCAGATTTATCATTAGGTGAATTAAGAATAAATCCATTGATATGATCAAGATGACCATGTGAAATAAAATAAGCTTTGACTTTTTCTTGAAGAAATTGTTCCGCTGTTAAACTTTGAGATGAAAAACAATTCTGTTTTATTGCCATTCTAAATCAACAAAAGATTTCTCAAGGAAAATCCATATTTCAACCTGAATTACTCAAGTCCATGACGCAATGTTCCACTATCAAGGGATATATAAGCAGAATTGGGTGTACTCTCATTGACTGTTGTAAGTAGATAAGAAGAAAGATTACTTTCATCTAATCCACCACTTGTACCTAATGGCACAATGTAAAATGATGATGATTTGGATTTCTCTGGAGTAGATTTAACATTGATGACGAGTAAAACAACGGTAACAGCCGAAAGAATCAACATTACAACACTAAATCAAAATAAAGATCAGTTACATTTTGAAAAAATAAGTAATATTACTCACCCGATAAGAATAACAAGATAAATTCTGTTTTTTTTACTGATTGTCATCTTTCAGCTCAAGTAATCCCGACGACTAAAATGTAAAAGAAGCTCTGATATTAACAAAGGATCAACTACCATAACAGAAAATCATTTATTGATCTATTTTTACCACAAAATATCAATGATAATACTAATTAAACGAGAATGCATCGATTCATAGCTCGTCTATACAGAAGAAAAAGGAGAAAAACGTATCAATGAATGAGTAAATAGACATCTGGAGATAATTGAATGAATTTAATGGTTAACAGAAACTATTTATTGTTAGTTGTGATAATGAAATCTAGATCATGATAAGATAGGAATAGTATTTCACGTGGTGTGAAGTATACATGTTGAAGAACAGAAAGAAAAGAACATCATAAAACTTTACACAATTACAATTTAATAGAATAAAAAAAAAACAATTTATATCATAATCAATGTATTTATCGTTTCTGAAAGGTTAAAAGTTTCGATGAATTTTATAAGATTGTTTTCATTCTTTTGTTTATTGAAATGCAATTCTCTTTGATTTATTTAAAATTGATTATTTTACAAAGATTCAACAAGGATTTATTGTATGTTTGTAATGAATAGTATAACATGTGTGACTAGAGTACTAAACTTCGTTACATATTGAACATGTTCTTTTGATAAGAAAAATATTAATATAAATGTTCCATTAAAAGTATAACAAACTATCATATTGATAGATAAAGACATCTTTCGAAAGAATTCAAAGCAGACCTCTGTTTATTTTATACGATTTATTCTTCTTTGTTTGATAAAATCGCTTATCAACGGATTATTCAGGATAACATATTGATCTAATAAGTCATGTCATTTGCAAAATACGTTCTCTCGCTATTATATACTCGTCATCAAAGGCTTCAACTTACTTGCGTTTTTTAAAATTATCATTCGATTGATGTTTATCAACATTACGAAGTGTTGGTTGAAGAGAGTTAAGTTATATATCATTTGCTAAACATATTCCCACTTCGTTACGATACATGTGTATCAATGCCATCTTAAAGATGACTTATGAACGTGACTGAAAGTCTTAATCAATGTATAAAAGATTTGATTAGTTTGTGTCCAATAGTTACAATAATAGAAAGAAATAGATTTGTATCGTAATCTCATAGCGTTATTGACACATAGAAAAGGTTTAGATGCTACTCACAGTTGAGAGTTGAATGCATTGAATCGATGAGTTCTACCTGTTTCTAAATGGATAAAGGATATTTTCTTTTCCATGTTCGAGTACACATGTCAACTTCTGAAATATTTTATACTCAAATGAAAATCTCTCAACAGAAGTCGGAAAATTATCAAGAAAGCGTATTACGCTGATTTCGTTTGTTTAATGGAATCTATTTCGATAAACTTTATTTATTCTTATAATGACTTTTAATTAACGTTTTTCTCTATCACTCGCAACTATGTTCCATGCAGGGTTGAGAAGTCTAATAAATGATCAATGGTAATTGAGAATTAACCGTCTTCTAAAACAGAAAAAAAATCAAAATATTATTCAAAAGGAGAAAAATCTTACCTGGTTCGTGCAAATGCGTGCTGTTGTATGATCGCTGTTGTAGACGCTGATACCCTTTCGTGAGTAGATATAGGATGGCGATTCCGAACCAGAAATACTTGCTGGCTATGCAATTAACTAATTTTCTCTTGAATTCTTCGAGTCGTTTTGACCACATAATTCGTGAAATATATAATTTTCAAATCTAGAATGATAGCAAAAGTTTTTTTTGGCATAAATTCTTATATAAAAATGGTATATCTAGTTTATAAAGTACATAATGTAAGAATAGGAACGATTTTGACTCATTCTAAACAAAGATACAATTGTTCGTTTTGTATTCTAGCGTATCCTTTGTCGATCAACACTTTGAATAGAAGCGCCTTGGCGTTGAGTTCAGTAGTCGAATCTTGTATTTGTGAATAGTTGCCGACAAGATGAGCGAATCCGGTGAGTATGGCAACCAGTTCTTCAGTTCCAAATGCGGGATTGACAAGGAAGCCTAGTACTCCAATCGCAGCACCTTCAAGTCCAAAACGAATCCAATCGACATTAAGTTTTTGTGTAGCAGAAATAATCAAAGCGTCTACAAGAAGTTCACGCGATCCATTGTTTGTACATTCTATGTATTAAGAGTTGAATTGATGTTAACTTTCGTGAAGCATATATTACCGATATTTACTTACCAAAACGGTACTGGTAAACAACGAACGTTGCCGTCAATTCATTGGTTTTCGTTACAGCAGCGACATGTTCAATAATGGTCTTCCCTCGCAGATCATCGTTTGATTCTCCTACGTTGATTTCATTTATTATTGATTGAAGTGCTTTTCGTTGTTTTGAGTCGGCTGGATAGTCGTCTAGATAGCTTTCCAGTGTAACTCTTAATTGGGCAGGTCGTACACCTTTTCTTGCAACCATTAATTCGCTGAAATCTCTCGTAATAAAGCGACTCGTTTCAACTTTTTCTTCTTTGATGATTTTCACAATATCCTTATCGATTGTGACACGTTGTTTGAGTATACTGAATACAAGAGACGATTTATTAGAATATCCTCACAGAATACTTACTCCGCTCTTTCTTTAGAAAGATTAGTGTTATCAGGTAATGAGACACGATTCATACTATGAGACAACCTAAAAGAAAAAGGTTACTGCCGTTCAACTCGTATAAATTTATTCGTCAGTTTTTCCTAATGGATACTTTCAAATAATCTTACTCTTCATCATGAGATAATCGATCGTTTGTAGGTCTTCTTGGGCCTCGCTGACGTATGTTGGAATCACATTGCTGCCGTATACGATCTACACCCATGAAATCCTTGTCACTTTGATTTACGCATTCGTATGATATTTCACTCTGTCGTGTGTTTGAGGATGAGAGTGTTGGTTGCAAACGCCGGCTATTTTCACGCAGAAGCATGATGACAAAAACACCCAAGCCCACCATGATTATACAGAGAAAGAGGATAATCAACTCGAGCATAACTGACCTTTATATCTTTTGAAAGTTTGAAATATCTACAATTACATATCGAAGCTGATGTTTTCGAATTATAAACAAATAATGTTTGTTGTCTCGAATCAATTAACTCGCAACTGTTGTTAGATCGGTTTTGTATGGTGTGAAGATTTTACTTTGAATAATGAATAAAGAACGAAAGCTAGAAACTAAGACATACATACCAGCGAAAAAATGGGGCCACTATGTATCCACAACATTGGATATTCCCAATAAATAATCATGTTGGAAAATACCTGTGCTATCACATAAGCGAACTATCGGAAACAACCAATAGAACATAGATCGAGGCCAACAGAAGAACGAACGAAATATATATAATATACATATGTGAGAGCATATCGAAAGAAAAAAACGTTTCGAAGAATTCTTTATTGTATATCATAAGAATACATTCCATAATAATTGTGGCGAGTAAAAACGTATTTCTCCCCTCTGTCAATGGTAGAACGAATTGAATGAGTCGCTTTACACACAGCATTATTTCAAATTCATTTCTTTGATTTCTACCACCAAGATTTGCTATCAACCCTACCATCTAGCTCTTGAAAATCAATCTCAATCATCGAGAATGGAATGTGGAAACATCATCACTCATACTCTCTAAATAACTATCGAGAATCATGCAGAAATAAAACGATTCTTTTTCTGACTATGTAACGCAGACACATCAAACATATATTTTAGGCAAATCTGCTCACAAAGCAAAGATAGTCAGAGAGCAAGAAGGTAGACTTAATGACTTTCATTATATAGAAAAAGACACTACGATCATTCTTAAGATGTTTTCATCTGTATATAATATAGGAATTTCATAATTTTCTTAACCGTTCTCAAAAGTCACACCATCAACATCTACAGTTCCCTTTGTCTTGCATACATTTGAAAATATATTGTTTCAATTCATGCGCTTACCATACCAAATGTTGAATAGGATAAAATCGACGACGAAGGAGCACAATGCATTGAAACCAAACAAGGTAATACTTACCCTATGCCACTCACTCTCAAATATTCATGTTTTCTCTCACCTACAGACACTCACTGCACTGTATCTTGGTTTGAACCAAATCGGTGATGAAGTAGTAAAACATCTGACGGTTCTTCTAGGAAATTGGATGATACTTTAGTCGTATTTTTATCAATATTATTTGTTGTCTGTTTTTGTACAATGAGATGAATATGAAAATGTGAAAAAGTTTTTCTTTCAGTGACTCCCATGGAGAATTAAATTTTGAATCCAATGTAATTCTAATAAAGACATTGGCTTTTTACATCAAGTTCACCTGATTTCATCAATTCGTTTATATCTATTGAATTTTTTCATTTTAAACGCACCAAATGTTTCGTATAAACTTCTTCTTGGTGTTTTGTATATTTTTCTTTTTAATTGTCTTATTAACGAAAATAATCATCAAAGTCTATACATCATTTGTGACACATTGATGAAAGAAATATAACACCAAAGACTCAAACAATTCTAATCTCATTTGAAATGGCAAGGTTAATTTTATTTAAAATCGTTCTTATAATTACGAACAAAAATAAAACTTGAAGTTCATCAGTTTGATATTTTTTCTATTTTATTGACTAACAACAGGTGCTGGTTTTTTAAACAGACCTTCTCCAGATGATTTCGGTACTGGATCAAATGAGATTAAATTTCCGAAAAGAATATGTTGAGCAATTGGAAATTTATCTAAAACCTATTTCACACTCTCAACATATATTTCAAAAGAAAGTTCGATTTTGACATAACTCACTTCTCCATAATACATTTTCAGCATTCCTTGATTGACTTTCGACCAATGTGCAACATTCGATATATCATAGAGTGTACTTGAATGTTCGAAAAAAGGACCGGTTTTAACTTCATTGATATATTTAATTGCGCCTAAATATAAATAATCATTGGATAAATCACGATAGAATCGTTCATCAATTGCTTGTTTTGGTTCAATTGGACCATCATCTGTTAATTGTGATGAACCCCAAAGAAATGGTAAAAATTGATAATCATCTAAACACCATTGACCTTTTGATCCAGCTGGTTCGAGATAATATGTTCGTTGTAATCGTCGACATAGATCCAAATAACTATTTCAAAAATTCAAATACAAAAACTAGTCATTTTACTCCTTTTCATTACCGTGCAAATAATTTCAATACAATAGCTTGACTATCTTGTTCTGTAAGTGCTTCAATTTTACATAAACATAGAATAAATAATGCAAAAGCTAATTCATGACCTAAAACAAAAAAATTTCTTTCAGAATTTTTCAATTTCTTCTATTTAACCTGTTCCATAATCTAATCGAGTACTATTTCCAAATGAATCACACAAATATCCATTTAATTCTTCTATATACTGATGATATTGTTCAAGCAGTGCTTCTTTTAACAATCGTTCACTTTCCTACAGATAATCCACAAAAAGAAATTGATATTTCATGCTGAAATCAAAGAACCTGTTCAAGTTTCGCATGCCAATCACGATAAGCCGCATCACCAAAACGTGATCGACCTTTCGGTGGACATTGATCAATAAACGAATCAAGTTGATTGAGTAAATTAATCAATTTGTCAAGAGTCTATGCTTGAGAAAAAGAATGTGTAAAAAGGAAATCGAAGAAATTTGTCATTTAACATACAGATGAAATTGGTACGGAATCCGAATTTTTTCGACCATGAACTGAACGATTCAATGATTGAACAAATAATGTATATTCTCGATAAGCCTAAAAGCATTTCTTGATAAGTAGATTTTCATTGTAAAGATTCATTTACATACCTTTGACTCTTTCCAAGCTTTCATTAATGAAATATCTTTGATTTTAGGTATTGGTTTTTGCGAAGGTGTCGGATTTGCTTCAGATTTTGAATCTGACATGTTATGATCTAAAAAAACATATGAATATTGATTAATTCCTGCATATATATTCATTTAAAATACAAAAAAATAAATAAAACTTCGAATTGTGCGCATCACATCCAAACTTTGACTCGTTCGTTTCCATAATCAATTTGGAACTGATCTCGATTTTTCAATCGACCTGTTGACTGTTCAATGAGATATTCATACAATGCATTTTTGTTCGAGTTAATCTCATCAGATAATTTCCCATATAAACTAAGAACAATTAATTTTGGAAAATAATTCAAAAGAGACGAAATCAGACGTGATTGAATGGAAATTTTTGAATTTCGTAAATCAAAACAAATGTGATTTACTCGAGAAAAGATTCGAGCAATGCAATGAATATGTTCATTTGTTAAATTGTCAATAAGACTGTTTTCAAAGCGAATACATAAAATAACAATACGTCGAGAGAGAAGATAATATAGAAGTAATGTTTGGTCATCATTTGAAAGTAATTTATATAAACAATCGAAATCAATTGAAAATGCAGAAAGATTCGGTGCAACGGAGAGAATCTTTTCAATGTATCAAGTATCCGATGGATTACCTTGGATCGATAAAAAATCCAGTCGATCCAAATACGGCAAAACTTTCGGAGTTTTGACTGGAACTTGATTTCCTAAACAAAAAAAAAAAACTATTCTTCATTCGTTTTTATAAACACTTCACAATCTTACTTGGTGGTAATGTTCGCATAGATATAATCAAATCTAGAACGAATTTACACTGTTGGACAATGCCAAAAACTTCCGCTAGAGCAATTGTATCATAAATATGTATATGACGAACTTTATTGTAGACATGACTGTCTTTTTGTACGGACATATTTTTATGAAAAAGTGAACGTAAGGATAATCGATTACATTGATAATTGGTCGTATGTAAAAATATTCGTTTGTCATTTTCGCAAATTGAATACGCAATTGGAATTGATTTCCATGTTTGGAGTATTGTTTCACAATTCAAATCTGCATTTAAATCCGATGGTTGATAACAAATACTATAATGAAATGTCTTAGTTGTCAACGGGAGAAGTGCTGAAACACATTGACCATCAATAAGTGAATAATCGTGACTAACAAGAACGAAAGAAAGATTTTCTAAAACTGGAGAAATTCTTAACAAAGTTTTCAAATCTTCGACAGTTGAAAACCAACTCATTGCATAAACTGATAATTCTTTCAAATAAAAGAATTGTTGTTGATTACAGATGACTTTCGTCCATGGTCGTTTGAACGTTATATGAAGTTTTTCAACATTAGGAATCATTCGATAGAGTCGAAAAAGATCTTTGGTTGTTTGTAATTCAATATCTAATTGAAGAATGTTGCGATAAACGTTTGTATTACATTTGTCATTATCGGTCAAACAAAATGCGTCAGATTCATGATCGAACATTACATGAGTCAAGCGATTTTCATTTGCACTAAGGACTTTCTCGAGAAAACATCCGTTTTTCATCGATTCGGTCAAATCCAATGCTTGAATGATTATTCGATGGAAATTTCTCATGTTATGTAATGTTTCAAGAAATAAAAATAATTTTTCATCGGTCCAATTGACTAAAGTTAACTTTTCTAGATTTTCATAGGAGTGAATTTTGGAAAAGGATTGAAAATATAATGGAGATTCGATTTCAAAGATAACTAACGAACGGATGGATGAACTAATTTGAGGAAGAATTTTCGTGAAAATATGAAGAAATTTTAAGTAACACGTTCGATGAAGTGAAACATGTTGCCAATAGAATGTTGTCATTTGATTAAAACGAGAATTTAAGCCAAAAAAAGAATAAAGAACATCACCACTGTGTAGATAACGACAGATTTCTAATAACATTTCATCAGGAAGGATTTCTAATCTTGAACGCATTTTTAATCTAAAAGAAAAATCTGAAATTAACATTTGTTTATCTGTCTATCGACATCTTCTAATCATTATCATTAAAGTTTATTAAATAAATGTTATTGTTTAAGTAAAGAAATATCGTCTAAGAAAATTGTTCATTAGAAATTTACTTTCATCGCTGGAATACAAAAAAAAGAGATTCACATAGGAAAAAAAAGAGTTTGGATTTAATAAGGAATTTCTTTGCCATTAAAATCTAAGAATTTTCCATTGTCTTTCAACGACAATTTATCAATTGCTTGTAACATTCGTTTTACCGATTCAGCTTTCGTTAGAAAATGTGCGTCTTTTGGAAAAAGTTTCTTATATTCATGTATCATTTGTGTATTTACAACTCCAGGTGACATAGCAACAAATAATAACGGATCTTCATCTTTTTTTAACCCACAAATCGAATTTTCATCAACTGGTTGTCTGCCAAATTCTAACGCAAGATTTTTTGTTGCCATATTCAAAGCACATTTCGATAAACGATACGCATACCATCCTCCTACACGATTATTACTAATCGATGCGAGTTCAGCGGAAATATTCACAATCAACGATGAATATGAACCATTGGAAGTAGAAGATCCAAATGATGGTCGACCTCGTTTTAATACATTTAATAGAATTTTTGTAACTAAGATTGGACCTACAACATTGACTTGATATACATCATTTAAATCGATACTAAGAACGTCATTTAATGATGTTTCTACTCGATTAGATGGATGCCCTGGAAAAGATATAAGTGTTAGCAAGTAATAAAGAGAAAGTTTAACTGTTACATATATGTGCACAGTTAATTAACATATCAAGACCACGTTCACGTTTTAAATCATTTAAACAATCTTCGACTTGTTGACCAAATGTATCAAATTGATCTTGATGTCGAACATCTAATTCTAATACATCTAATCGATGTTTTGAATGTTGTAAATATTCTTTTTGTAATCGAGAAAGTCGATCATCGGCCATTTTCTGACATGTTGCAATCACATGTGTAGGTTTTGGACGTTGTAACAATTGTCGAACGAATTCTAAACCAATGCCACTCGATGCACCTTGAATAAGAACTGTCGCTTTTGGCATTACGAAAAATTTTTTTATCTGAAAGAACAGAAATTTTAATGAAAATTTCGTCGTTTTCGTCCTGAATAAGGTAAACGTTGAAATCTTTGTACATATTGACGACGAAGAACATCGCGAATTTCACAAGGAGTTGAACACTGATAAACTTTATCCATTAGATTAAGAAGAATTTCTTTGAGTAGAAATAAACAAATCTCCGCTAAGGAAAGATCTTCACTCGAACGAGAAGATTTTGGAAGAGAAAAACTGTACAAATTAAGCCAATGAAGAATATCCATTGATGATAACGAACGAATTTGATTGAAAGATGAATGTTGTTGTTCAACAAATGTTAAATAAGCATCGCTGGTTAATTGATCACTTTTATAATAAGTATCAAGACGAGAATATTGACGTGCACGTTGGAGATCGAAGAACTATGAAAAGAACGAAATTGTATAAATTAAAAAGAAAGAATAATTTTACTTCATTTTGATCGAGATAAATGTGAAATTGACGAGAAATTCGATGAAATCGATCAGATATTGTCAATCGTTTATCTTTAACATCATTTAAATCTTCCTGTTGAGTTAAAGATCGATCTTTCGTTTGAACATATTGTTGAAGTCGTTTCAAACGTGTTTTGTTTCGTCGAGAAGAGTAAATCAATGTAGTTAACAGAGAATTTCGTCTGATTAACAATTCATTATGTTTTATACAATACTCTCGAAGTTGTTGTTGACAATATTCTAATACACAACGAACAGAATCGATTGGAAGTGCATAACCATTTCCATACATGCGAAGGCCAATATCAATGATATTTTCGAAAATATCTTTATCATTTATTCTCTTTAAAGACATACGAATCGATCTAAAATGAAAAACAAATTTAAAAAATATTTTAAAACCAAATTTTCAAATCAATTTCATCACACTCTGCTTGAAAATTTCCCATGGAATTTCGTAAATATGTATTCGAAATCAACCACTGATATGGATCATTCCGTAATTGTTCAGTGATCGAACCTCGAACAATTACGGAGACTAACTGATTTCTTTCGAAATATCGAAGAAATAACAAAAGAATTTGTTCAGTTGAGAGATTTGCCGAGTCTTTGCTTTCGACAATCAAATATTTCACACGACGAAATACATTCGATGTTTTTTCTAACCTATCATCTGTTAAATCTTTATCTGTAGTCAATTGAATTGATAAATGTCTGATACGTTTTGTTAATAATGAAAGACAATCTTCGTAATCGAGTAATTGGACGAGATATGACATATCAACGATGAACATAAGCAGATTTGGAGAAACAGATATGATTTCTTTCAATAAATGAATCTCTTTTGGACAACCATCAATCGATACCCAACGAAGTTTCTTTAATCGAGGTAATGTCACCGATTTCTTCTTTTCTTCTTTATTATCTTCCTCTTCTATGTCTAAACAGCAAAGATTTTTCATATAAAGTGAAATACAAAGAAAGATCTGACCAGAAAGTGTTTCATCGACTTCAATTGCCAAATCTCGAATATTCTGACAACAATCAATAGCTATACAAACATCGCTTAACTGTTTCACATTGAATAATAACAATTCTTCGACACGATGATGATAATTCGATGTTGTTTTATTCAAATATTTGATAAACGACGAATTCATGTCCAGATAAGAAAATTCGTAGGGAATTGTGTGGAGAAATATTTGAGTTTTATTTGCCGAAAATAAACAACAAATTGAAAATGGTGTTGACATCCAAGAACACGTGATCTCGTCAGTTGTTTCGACTGCTTCGTCGGGTTCATATTCAGTACAAAAATTAAATCTTTGTACAGATTCGGGTAAAATGGAACAAATTTCGTGTCCATTGGTTAATCGAATGTCTTGAGTAAATAAATCTAATGAAAGTTGTCGAAGAAAAGGCATTGTTGATAGTAAATAACATAATTCATTGAAATTCCAACATCGTCGAAATGATTCTATTCGAAATTCAACTAAAAATTTCATTTCAATCAATTGATTCGATTCCAAATCTTTCTCTTCTTCGGATCGTTTTCCAATGACAATATTCATTCGTTGAATATTTGGTATCAAATTAAATAAACATTTGAGATCATGAATTTCTTCTAAATGAACATCTAATTGAATAATATTCGAGTAAATCACTCCATTTGTTGGATTGATTTTTAAACTTTCCGAATGACGATTAAAAGAAATGATTTCGAAACGAAAATCATTCGCTGAGAGAACTTTTTCAAATAAGATTTGTTTTATTTCTTCGGGTGTGTTATAACGATCTCGAATTGTTAATTTTTTCAGGTATAAAAGGTCAGAAAGACATGTCATGTAATCATTTAATTCATTTCCATTGAATGCAATAAGAATCAAATGTTCAAGATTAGGAAAAACATCTTTCATTCGATCTCCGAAGTGATAATGGAACCGTTTACCGACTAAATCTGTCCAATTCGCATTGATTGATAAAGTCCGAACGGTTGAGGTAATTTCAGGTAGAATTACTGAACAGATGTATTCGAATTGCTGGAAATTCGTTAAACGAAAAGTGACATGTTGACGATATGTGAAGATTGTTCGATTTAAACGAGAATTTAAGTTAAATAATGAGTAAAGAACATCCGTTGAGGAAAGATATCGACAGATTTGTAGTAATAATTCATCGGGAAGACATTCTAAATTCATCCGTATTCACATGGACAGAAATGATTTTCGTATTTAAAGATTGGTACACTTGACGAGCGATAGGCTATGTTGCTATTGGTCGAAAAGAACCATTAGGAAAGTACAGAACCTCCAATAAGACTGATTTTAATTTTATGGAAATTTTACAGCTATAAATAAGAAATTAACGAATTCCATGATGATTTTCGGCGTAAAAAATGACTTAAATTAGAATAAAAAGATGATTTTTCATGAATTTTATTGGTTTAATTCACATGAGATAAATAAATAGATAGAAGAAAAATACCAAAGCAAATATATGCAAAAAAGAACTGATCTTTTCTCACTTGATATTCGAATATTTGCCTGCAGGAATCTTTTTCTCAATTTTTTATAAAACCATTATCATTTCACTCTGTTCGATATTTTCATCTTTTTCGTAAGTTTATTCACGATATTCAAATAAATTCTCAAATTGTTTTTTTTTCTTTTCAGTACATGTCAATTCGTATGTAAATTTTCAAAGGTTCAACAGTCGAAATACCGTTTAATAGTTGATATTTTTTTATTTAAGAAAGTTTTCGAATCTTTGTTGAACGCCATTGGATGGTCAGAGGAGTTTTATTGAAAGAGTTTGACTGTCTATGGAAATCTATTTGAAGATCGGAAGAATTATTTTGATATTTAAATGTTGTTTTAGATAGTATTTAATTAGTTTATTTATTCAATCATGTCGGGAAAGGATCGTTACAATGTATTTCCATCACGAATGTAAGTTTGAAAGAAATTTGAGGAGAAGTTGATGAAAATGATTTGATTTAGGGCTCAAACAGTTATGAAAGGTCGTTTGAAAGGTGCTCAAACAGGACATAATTTATTGAAGAAAAAAGCGGATGCCTTAGCCATTCGATTTCGATCGATACTTAAGAAAATCATCGATGTAAGACGAGACAAATTCATCAAGAATAAATCTCATTGTTTTGTTTATTTGTCAGACAAAAATGTTGATGGGTGATGTGATGAAAACTGCCTCGTTCTCCTTGGCTGAAGCAAAATTTTCCATGAGTGGAGATTTTACTCAGGTTGTCATACAAAGTGTCACCAAAGCACAAATTAAAATCCGTACAAAACGCGATAATGTCGCCGGTAAGTCCTCGTACTGTTCCTCTTGTCTTATTTTTCATCTTTTTTCAGGTGTTGTTCTGCCATCATTCGAATCCTTCAACGACGGAGGAGATAGTAAGTGAAATTGAAGATTGAATTATCGAATAATTCATTGAGATTTCGTTCAGCATTTGAATTAACCGGTTTGGGTCGTGGTGGTATGCAATTACAAAAGCTAAAACGCAATTATGCCGAAGCAATAAAGAATCTGATTGAATTAGCAACACTTCAAACATCTTTTCTTATTCTTGATGATGTTATCAAAGTAACAAATCGTCGTGTCAATGCAATCGAACATGGTTTGTTGTTGAATGACATTGTTGATGATGGTTAATCGTTTGTTTTTTTAGTTATTATACCAAAAATAACACGAACTATCAATTATATCGTTTCGGAACTGGATGAGATGGAACGTGAAGAATTTTATCGGTAAGAAGTCTTTTGTTTGTCATTTGGGAGGATTTATAATTGTTGTTTTTTTCTAGTTTGAAGAAAGTTCAAGAGAAGAAAAAACAAGCTCGTGCACTTCAAGAACAGAAACGAGCTGAAATGATCAAAAATGGCGCTCTAACTGGTAAAGAAGAAGAAGCACCAAACATTTTAGATGAAGAACATGACGAAGATAATCTGTTTCTATAATTTTTCTTTCTCTTTCTCTTCATTCATATTATTTGTCATTCCATAATCCCTTTACTTATTTTGATCATATATTTTTAAACATTGTCTGTAAGTGATAAACCATAATTATCACCCTTTCTATTTGTAATTTTCCTTTGTCTATTAAATCTGTATGTTGACGAACCAACGCGCATTTAATTCCAACAAATCTATGTACTTATAGATGCCAGCTCCAATGTTTTTACGGGGTGCAGCCCCATGGCGAAATACTTTAGCGTATTTAGAATCCGGTTCGATTATCTTCCGTCCACTCGTTCGTGTTTTCACCTTGAATTACACTCTCGACAAACCCGACTCGGATGGTCTACGTCGTTTTATATTCTGGCATTTAGCTCAAATTCAATATAAAAATCCGACTGTTCAATGTGTACAATTCAAGAACACAACTCCAACACCGTTCGTGTCGTTTTACTTGTCACGTCCATCAATTGACAATGAAGAAAAGTCGGAAGAGGAAAATTATGAAATTGTTCATATGGATTGTTATAAGAAAACTTCGAATGAAATTCACGATTCGATTCGACGAGTTATGGGTAAAAGTGAATTACAACAACGGATCGATTCGGAATTAACAGCACGATTGGAAAATCCGGCGAATTTTGGAAAAGATTGTGCACATTATTGTATGTGTTTGGTTTATGGACAAGTGTCATGTCCGGGAAGAAAGAAATTACCTGAACATCTTCGTGGCAAATTTACAAGATATAAAGTCGATGAACTGGAAGAAATACGAAAGAAAATAAGTGATACTGATGCGATGAATGAATATTGGAAAAGACCGTTTTAGGTTTAATAAAACAAAGTTTAGGAAAGAATTTATTGTTCTTTGAATTTTACAGAAAAATCAGATGTTTTCAAAATCAATCGCTTTGAGCTGATGATTACAGTCGAGTTGCATTTTCTGTATCCACTGATAGAGCACGTTGTTTACGAAATTTATTTGATAAGAGTTGTTTACGTTTGTTTCGAAATGAACTTCGCCAAGAATTCTCGTTTTCGTTTTCGTTTTCGTTCTTGATGATTTTATTCGTATGGTTACTGGACAGAATTGGCGAATCTTTGACTTTATCTTCGCTCGACGTGCTCGCTTCACTTCTTGTCTCAGTTGTATTATTAATATCAGATAGTTCTGTTGTACGTCGTCGAGTGAGATCGAGTTTTTGTTTACGAATGATCGTATTTCGAGGTTTATCCACTGGATTATCTCGTAATCGTAATTTATACTTCTCCGTTTGGGTGATATGAAGCAGAATTTTCCAACATTCACTCCCCAGAATCGATAAGTCAATTGCTTTATTTCCGTTATAATCACATTTATCGATATCCGCATTGTTCTGGATCAAAACTCGACACACATTTGTCATATCATTTCGAACTGCGACCATTAATGGCGTTCGTTGTTGTAAATTTTGCGCATTGATATCAAATCCTTTTTGAATTAATTTTTCCAAGATCGAAATGTGCGCATCGTTTTCCTTGCGATAGCAAAACCAATGCAATAACGTATTATCACCTGTCATTACAATCGAAGGAGTCAAAGCACCAGCAGTATCGAGTAAATCGAACATTTTTTCATCGCCATTTGATATCGCATAGTGAATTCTAAATGAAACAAAGGTTTGAACTGAGAATTTGAGACTGAAATAACATACGGACGAACACCGGACTGTCTTTCAACGTAATTAACATTTGCTTTCTTGCCAATTAATAATTTAACCAAAGGTAAATTACCTTTTCGTACTGCGATCATCAATGGCGTTTCTTTGCCTGAATAATCTGCACTCGCTTCATCTTTGTATATATACGGAATTGGTTTATCGACATATGCGCCGTACTCCAAGAGAATTTTCGCCATTTCGAGTGTTTTCTGTGCTTTGTGTGATTGATAATCATCGTAAACTTTCGACGCTAAGATGCCGAGTGGAGTTCTGAGGTTAATTGTGTTGGTTTGATCAGGTACAGCACCATGGTCAAGTAATAAACGAACGATTATCGGTGTTGAATGTTCCACAGCTAATAAAAGCGCTGTATTTCCTTCATTATCAATGTCTTTAGTAAGAAGGTCGCGTTCGAAGTCCAAAACTCGACAGATTTTATCCGTATTCTCTTCGAGAATAGCCGAACGGAATATCGCTAAATTTGTTTTGAACAAATATGATAGTAGAACTTTCGACATTTTACTTCAGAATATCTAAGAGAAGAAAAAAAAACGTAGCAAATTATTCGTCTGTCGCTTATTTTATATGCGCAAATAAATAAATGCATGTTTATATTATTGTCATTATCCAGGTGAGAGAAAATCAATAGCCATGCAGAGACAACATGTGGGGAACGCAAATATCGAATTTAATCATGATTGATTTTGTTTATTCAGGGGACATCTTAGACTTGAAAGTTAGATATCGATCAATTGATTTAGTTATGGACAATAATTGATGCAATTACACGCATGGAGATATGATGAAGTGAAGTCATGCATAAAGTAATCTTGAATGACTGGAGATATTCTTGGAAAAGAGTGAACAAATATTAACGATTGAGGGATGGGATTTCAATATTGGATAGAAAAATAAACAAAAGTCGGTTGTCAAATTTCCGATACGAAATATCATGAAAGTTTCTTTGTTTTATCGTACACCTGTGTAGTTTGGCCCAGTGCATGAATCGAAAGTGTACAAACGGTTTTTTATGCTATTTTTGTGATGTTTATTTGATGATAAATAGGAAAAATGGTATATTACATTGATAAAGACACACAGAAAATACCAAAGTGTCGCAGCGTGATAGAACAAAAGAGTGTACTTATGCTCAATTTCGGAGATATTTTATAGAATGGAAAGGCAGGATCATGTATAAATAACTATAGACTACGTTTTCTTTTGACACTTAATGTAGAATCAAAGTATTTTTATGCTTTCTAGATTATACAATTTTAGTCGACAGAATATCTATGTGATAGAAATAGATGTATCATGTACTTAATCAGTGTACCTTGCATTTGCATCTTGACGTATCTTGCTAAAGTACAATTGTACTCTGTATTGGTATTAAGTACGACTGCACTACGTATTACGTACATCAAGGCTAGGATACTAGTAAGACAAAACGAGAATCCGGCGTTCATGTGCCCTTTAAAATGCACCTTTTCTCCATTTTCTTTGCATAAAATTAGAAAACATATTCCATGAGCAGTGGTTTCTATCTGGTCAGAGTCTTCATCCTAATCTACTCTAATCAATAAATTCGTCGAGCAGGGTTGAATCGACTACGATAGACCAGAGACTTTTCATCTTTTACAAACTGACCATGAAGTCGTAAACTTTCTCTCTGATGGATGCAATGAAAATAAAAATGAAGCATCAAATTATTATATGAATACATATCAAAATCTTAAAGGTGGAGATGTACTCATCACTTCCACATCCTCAAGATAAAACCAATGTTCATCCAGATAACCTTGACAATGGAGCGGAACCGACATAACCACTTTCACACTCTTCTTCTTCTTCTACAATTGATTCCTCAGTACTAATAAACAATGTTTCTAATGAGAATCTAAAACAAAATATAACGGTTCACTGTACTTTTTTTGTCACAATATGTGTTCGTGCACTTTGTTTTACCTATCAAAGTGTACAAAGAGTTTAACTAAAATTATTGACTACTTCCTTAAGGGAAACACGAAAACAGAATCCTGTTCTGACTTTTAGTGCTTCCTTATGAATTAGTTTTAAAATTGCTTTCTCCCATGACTATCTGATCCGTGGAAATAATATAAATGCAGTTATTGCATTGTTGTTTTATGTCTCTGCTACATTGCATATGACTATTCTATTAAAAAAATCAGATCAACTGTCCCTCATTGGATTCGATGAGAATTTGTTGGAGAGCATCGAACCTCTGATACAGAACTCCGACATGATCCCTAGCATTTTCGGTCCTTTTCTATATCAAACAACTTCTGGTCGTATTTCTGTACCAGAAATTTTGACAATCTTCAATAAATTTCCACTGGATCCGGTAAGATCTGATCGTCGAATTTCTCATCTTGGGAAGAAAAATACATTAGCGCCTCTATTTTTGTCCTGTTTGGCAAAGTCTGTATACTCTAAACAAGATTAAAGAAAAATTTCCTATTTAAAACGTTAAAATTCAAAGTGTACGGCAAACTCGCTACCTTTTTATTCAGTGAGTAAATTATTTTTCATTCGGATACCGTACCCTTTGTCATTATAAACACTGCTTTAAGCCTACATTGATACTAATAGGCATCAATTCAAACATTTCAATTGCATTAGTGTACGAACATAGCTTCTATTCACTATCAACTACATTTTAAAAAAAGCTTTCTTTCGACCTTCCATTAAAACTGTCTACAAAAGAGCACTAGAAAAGCGTGTAATCATCGTATACAACTCTCCTAGAGTTTTAACAAGTTACAAATTCTTACTAATATCTCTCCTATTAGTTAACTAGAGTATTGGTTGATGTGTCTCGTATGGAAAAAGACGTTAGACATTCCGTATTACTTATAGACAACCCTGTATAATCAGCTGCTTGAGATTTTTCCAAGAACTGACATCGGATTCGAATGCTTCAACCGCGATTACCTATGGTCAATTATTTTCGTGTGATCATCATCAAGTTTTCTTTTGACTTATTAAATGCTGCAATATGACTGGCTTGGGCAGACAAAGTTTTAGCACTTCGAGACGCCGGAACAAGCGAATGTATGAAATGCGTTCAACTGTCAAGGTAAAACACATCGAAAGAGTGTCTGTTAACGTTACCAGAAAATGTTTTTACTAATCGATGAAATTGATTAACAGAAAAATTTAATTTAATTACATTGTTCAACACATTTTTGTTTGCCATGATTGGCGCTGTTACAAGGTTCAGATGCAACTTTTCCAAGTTCAAACATGAGTTTGCCCAGTAATGCACACTTGTCTTCGTAAACTGGGAACACAGAAGGATTGTTCATTGAAATTAAATTTGGGACAAAAGTAGATGATGTGAAAATAATTATTAATGTTAATACTTACGCAGCTTTTTTTCTGTGTTCCTAGTCCGCATGAAGCTCGTGCGAACTTCGAATTTAATGTGATGTCTGTTTCACAGAAGTACGATTCGAATAGTATCTTTGTACATACAAAGTTTGCCTTTTGAATAGCATTGTTCGTTGTAGACGAGTACTATTTGCTTCCCTGACCTGCTTACGTCCCGATTATCTGGACTACAAACTGATCATACTTTCAAGACGCTGAAAATATCGTCAGACTGATGAATTGATCTTTGACGAGAAAGACAATCGACATCTGATCAGCATAGTCGTTCACTCTCAAAAGCTAACGATCGTACACTGGTTTTCATTTACTTTCTCATGTGTTACTTCTCAAACTGATTAACTCTACAACACGTAACAATCAATTGTACTACATTTCGAAGAAAAAATTTACATGCAAAATATTTGGTGAAAGTGCTGAGACTAGGATGAACATATTCACGACACTGTGAGAATAGACTGCGTTGCATATTTATGTTAGATGGGAGTTATACCTCGTTTTGAGATAATTTGGATAGAAAATAATCAATCAATCGTGTGATTTCATGCATAGTATAATGAGATACATACCAATTGATGTTTTTCATTAATGTGTTGTTTTTCTTGATCGTGTTCGAGTATTTGAGTAATGATAAGGTTGTCGTGATTCGGATGAGGTTAAATAGTGAATGGTATGAGAGATAGACCTTTTTTCTTTGATTTTAGGTCATAAATATAAATTAATGAGAAAGAGAATGTGTATTTGATATAAGTTGTCAATTTGTTTTTTCGAAATAAAATACTTTGAATATCATTCTATAAAAGATTTGTCGTACTTTTCAGAAGTTCTTGTAAAGTATTCTTTTATGTCAAGGATATTGTTTATATGATAAATATATAAAGAAAAAGTTGCTGTTTATATGTAATTTGTTTCCTGATCGTAAAAAATGTCACATACATCTTGTTTACTCTTCGCTAGTGCAGTAAGATATAAATCAGGTGATTTTTGTCATGCTGATTACAATCTGAATGGGAAAGGTCAACATTCATAGGTCTTCTTTTCAAATATAAGAATAGAATATTAATTCAAAACTGATATTTGTGTGCATTGTAAGTGAAGGTGTGGATTATACACGCATACTCAAGATTTTGTTGTTGCTGAAAAGAATTTTATAATCTACTTATTTTCTTTCATTTCATTCATCGAACAGAACGCACGAATGAATAGAATACCAAAAGCTAAAAGCAAAATCGAACAATTCTCTCATTAAATAGCAACCTGAAGAAGGGATGACTGTTTACATAGTATTTCTTACTTTCTATGATTATTTTTTATTTCTTTAATGAATTTCTCTGATTCTCTAACAGAACAATGACTGAAATAAAAACAATAGAAGAAAAATGATTGTGGGCATTTTACTGAAACTTATGATCATCGAAACTACAACAATATGACTAATCGATTTTAACCATCAATATACATCTTTTATCAGTAGAAGGAAATATCGAAATCAATCTTTTCGCGATTCATTCTTATTTTTCCATTGGCTACCATGAATCTTCGTATTACTCAAAATACATTTGATACTTCTATTTCCTTACACAAGATATTTCATCATAAAAATTTGATAACAATATCTATGCAATTAAATGACGCAACTTTCCCATAGATTTCACAATTAAACAATCCTTATTTATACTCCGAGAAACAAAATTTGAAAAGAATCACAAAAATGTCAAAATCTGCTGTTTCTCCTGATCTATTAACAATAATCGTCACAACTTCACCTGTACCTTCTGCTCCATCTCCTGATTTAATCAAAAATACTCTGTTCTCACTACCACCTTCAATATCATCAGTTCCAATCATTATTACATTTGATAATTATACAATCGCTTCGAATGACAAAGGTAGATTGAAAAAAGGATCTGTACCTCAAGTTTTAGTCGATCAATATCCGATGTACATAAGAAATGTTTGTGATTTGTTCGATGATGTTTCTTATTTATCCGATAATACTGAATGTTCTGTTTTATCAAATTCATCTCGTCTTGCCACTTTTCTTCTTTTGAAAAAACGAAATGGATTCGCATTTAGCGTAAAAACCGCTTTGAATTATGTCCAAACCCCG